CTAGGTTTTCTTCCAGAGGACCCAGTTCAATTCTTAGCATCCATATGGCAGCTCACAACCATTTATAACTCCAGTTCTAGGGGGTCTGATACACTCCTCTGGCCTCTGCACACACTAAGGCACACTCATGGTTTACAAACATACATGCAAGCATAACGCCCACAAATATAACAGCAACATCATTATATTAAAGGACAATGATACGACGACAACAACAACAGAACATAAGCCCATGTAGAAACTTGCATGTAAACACTAACAAGAACAGTATTCCTAACAGCCTAAAACAGAAGCAATTTGGTTGTGCATTTGATGGTGACTGGTGAAGAAAACATGGATGATGAAACACTATTTACTACTCAGCAATAAAAAGCAAAAAAAAAAAAAAAAAAAAAGAAAGGATTAATATGTGCATCAGCAGAGATAAATCTTCAAAGCATTATGCTAAGAAAAAGAAGGCAGAGGAGTAAGACTACACTATGACATTGCATTTGTTATGAAATGCTCAGAACAGGCAAATCATCTGGAGAGAGAGGGTTGATTTATAGGAGTAAGGCAGAGATGCACATTACCTGAAGACTAGCATGAGGGATCTTTTGGGGTGACAGGAATGTCTGCATACTGGATGACAATTATGTTGCATAACTGTACATTTACTAATAACCACTGAACTGTACACTTAAAATGGTGACTTTCATGGCTTATAAAATACACCTCAATAAGGTTGTTTAAAAAAATAAAATGCAGGACTGGTGAGAGGGCTCAGTGAATTGCTGGCAAGCCTGATGACCTGAGTGCATTCAGCAGATTGCACACAGTGGAAAGAGACCACAGGCTCCTTCAGTTGTCCTCCGACCTCCACACACATGCTGTAGAATATGTGCTCTTTTTTCCCCCAATAAGTAAATTTAAAAAGTAAAGTTTAAAATTTTTATTTTTAAATAAAGGCATGGTGGAGCACACTGGAGGCAGAAGCAGGTACATCTCTGTGTGTCTGAGGCTAGCCTAGTCTAGCTTCAGAATGAGCACCAGGACAGTCAGGGCTACATAGAGAAAGTCTATCTCTAAAACACAAACCAAATGCAGCTGGAGTTGATAAGAATGAAGGTGAGGAGAACCTGGCTTCCTTTGGAAGGTAAATACCCACACCAAGGTGAGGGGCTGTGGATATGCATAAACAACGCATCCTGGAGGCAAGGGAAATGACCTATTTCTGTGGCTTAACATTCCCATAAGCATCTAAGCTTGAAACATTGCTTTCTTCATTTCATCTTTTCCTGCTCACAAAATGTCAGTGAATTCCTGTTGTCAAGCGGACAGACTCCTAGACTTCAAGGCTAAGGACTTAAGGTCCTCCACCATCTGCCTCAGTAAACAGACCTTTTTATTTCCCTGGGAACCTTCGGCTAGAACCTGGTGACAGAGGCTTGTTGTTGCTCCCAAACCTGTGCTTATTCAGAACATAGGGAATAAACAGAGTGGCAACAAGCTGTGAGTGGTGGACATGGTTGAAATCCCAGCACTTGGGGGCTGAGGCAGGAGGATTGAGAGGTCAAGGCCAGTGCGGGCTACATAAGTTAATTCCTTGTCAAAAGCTAGGCAATTAATAGGTTCATCAACAGGAAGGTTATGGAATCTTGTTGGCTTTGGATATTGGTGTTGCCTCTTAAGACAGTGTGTGAGTTCTGGTCAAAAGCTAAGGCTCTTAAGAATACTTTTCCAGCATGCCTGTAATCCCAGCACTTGGGGAGGCAGAGGCAGGTGGCTCTCTGTGAGTTCAAGGCCAGCCTGGTCTACAAAGCAAGTCCAGGACATCCAAGGCTATACTACACAGAGAAACCCTGCCTCTAAAAACCAAAACCAAAACCAAAACCAAAACCAAAACCAAAACCTTTTCCAAGCCCAGCATGGTGGCACACATCTTTAATGCCAGCATTCTGGGAGGCAGAGGCAGGCAGATCTCTGCGTTCAGGGCCAGTCTGATCTACAGAGTTCCAGGACAGTCAGCACTATACAGAGAAACCTGTCTTTAAAAAAATTAAAAAAAAAAAAAAAAAAAGAAATACTGTTTCATGTGAGCAATGATTCTGTCTACCGAGCAAAACTGTGACAGCTGGGTGCAAGAGTACTAAATCTAGCACAGAGAAAATTGTCAGTATCATGTCCTTCCCTTGCTGTCTTCTCTCCCCTTGGACGACTCAACCCCTCCTGAAATGTAGGTCTGTTTAAAGTTCATCTCTACTTGCTCCTTGGTCAGGAGTACTTCACAGCTACCGAGTCACCCAAAATGGTGTAGACAAAGCAGAAACACTAACAGATGAGAGCCTCAGTGGCTTGGCCAACCCATGTTCCAAGCCCCATCTGCACTGAGCTGTAGCTTCCAAATCTGCATCATTTCACAGGACATCCACAACACAGCCTTGCTTGTTGGCTCTGGGCTGGGCTGTCATGGTTGGGGTGGCTGGCTCTGGGCTGGGCTGTCATTGGGACCACCTGGGAAGCCTCTGCACTGGTGATTCCAGGAACCCTTCTCTGAAGAACAGCCCTTTTCTTGGGAAATTTCAATTCTGGGCTTCACCCTCTCAGCTACCATGGGATCTCTTGTCCAGTGGTGGCTGTTCTCACCCTCCTCACCATGTGAACAAGCTGTCTCCACTTCTAATCCTCCACAGTTCTTTCTCTCAGGTCTCATCTGCTCCTTATGTGCCTTTTCCTGGACTTTCCCAGGAACTCTGGGTAAGTGATTGGCCCAGACTTTGATAAAGAAAAGACAGATGAATACTGTATTAATAAGAAAAAGAGCAGTCAGTAACTGATGAGTAGTCACTTGTAAGCTACTAGGCTCATCTCTATGGAACTAGATTTATTTTCCTTCTTTTGTCTTTTTTTCAAAGATTTATTTATTTATTTATCTACTTATTTATTTATTTATTTATTTATTTATTTAGTATACAGTGTTCTGTCTGCATATACACTTGCATACCAGAAGAGTGGGCCACCATATGGTTGCTGGGAATTGAACTCAGGACCTCTGGGAGAGCAACCAGTGCTCTTAACCTCTGAATCATCTTTCCAGCCCTAGTTTTATTTTCTTAAACCTTAAAAGGGATTCTTTCTTCTTTGTGTAGCATCTTGAGGGAAGTAAAAGGAGTAAAGGCTGGAATAAATGAAGCCAGTTTAAGAGACATACACACACCTAACTTCCTTCTGAACTCTGACTTAATTGGTTTGAAGAAGTGTCATTTTATATTTTTTAAGGTTTATTCATTCATATTTTATGGGCATGAGTGTTTGTGCATACGTATGTGTACCATGTGCATATCTAGTCCCTGTGGAAGCCAGTACAGGGCATTAGATACCCCGGAACTGGAGTTCCAGAAAGCTTCAAGCCACCATGTGGGTGCTGGGATCTGATCCTAGGCCTTTACAAGAGCAGCCAATGCCCTTAACAGCTGAACTGGTTCTCCAGCCCTTACATTTTCATACTAACAGACCCAAAATGGAATAAAGAAAGCCGTTAAAAACAGATGGAGATTTCTTCTTAATAGGAAATGGCTCTGGAAAAATGGACTGCTAACATTAGGGGTAAAGGCCATTATTAACTCTCATTTTGGCTAATTACTATGTTCACAACTATTTAATCAACACAAGAGGGCAATCAATTTTAATCTCCTAGCTAAAACAGGCTAGAAATTCTGGCCAAAAGTAATTTTGCACCCAATTTCCAATTTGAAAAAGTTTGTCCTTTCACACCAGAGCTTCCCCCCCCCCCCCCAAGGTCTTCGGTCCTAAATTAACTCTTGTACAAGCTAAAACATTCTATGACTTCAAGGAAGACATCTTCAACATCTCATTCATAACCTTCAAATATAAATTCAGGATAAAATATGAATTAGCCTATCATGATTGATAGCTAACTTAAGGTCTGCAGCAACCTTTAAAAATAAGTCTGTTCAGGCTTGGTATGTAGGTCAGTGTAGCACATCTGCCTAGCATGCACGAGGCCCCAGGCTGTATCCTTAGCACTCCAAAAACCTAACAAACAACAAACAAGAAGAATATCTCACAAAACAAAGATGAAAAGTCTGTCTAGAGAAAAGCAGGCTTCCTGTATGCAAAAGGCATGTGACCAGCGAAAAACCTCCTAAAGACATGCAACTGATGTGTTATAAATTTCCACAGATACGAGCTGGGTACTGGATAGTATACTCTCCAGGGGAAGAAATATTTCTTACTCCAGGAATGACAGGTCTACCCTTCAGCCAAGAGAACATCTGCTGTGGAAACAGGCTGGATAAGTTTCAGAAGAACCTAGGCTGGCCCAGAGGCCTTTCAGCTTTCCAACATCCAACGTGAGGCAGAAAATGTCCAGCTGAGAAGCAGTTAGAAAGCAGTGGTATTCATGAAAGATTTCTTACTCAAACAATAAGGAAACTGAACTGGGACACATGCTGCCATCTTATTTCTTTTCCAGTTATTGGCTTTTAAAAGCTATGATGGTCTCATGCCAAGCAGATAGGAAAAGTTCAATTCTCAGGGCCAGTGAGGTCAGGGATTTACCTACAATAATCATGGGAACTGCTACAGAAGCAGCTGAATCCATCTTCAGAGAAGCTTTGTCTTGATCACATCACACTACTCTGGCCATCACCCACAGGACATTTTCAGTGCCACGCTGGTGGTGATTATGGCCATGTGACTAGTGCTGTTTATTGGGAAAGATTTGGAGCCTACAGTGAGGGTCTCTGGGTAGACAGCTCTAGTTCAGGCTCTATTGTGGGTATGTGTGCCTGAAAGTTAAAGGTCTGTTCTCTCCTTCAGACTGCTCCTCCCCCACCTTTGTTTGAACAAGAAACCTGAGGTTCTCCTGTCCTTTCTCCTGTTCTTTGAGATGTATTCACTGTTGACTAGTTCATGACACATTTTCATTATTATTGGTATCTTTGCAATAACCAGACACTCCCATGGTTTCATTTCTTTCTGTATCCAAGGCAACTTACCTTCCCCTCTTTGAAGTGCTTCTTCAGCTGTCTCTGCATGGCGGTCAGCTTCTTGGACTGCACTCCACTGTAGGCCAGCAACATGCCACCAAACTGCCTCTCAGTGATTCTCCCATCTACAGGGTCATGGCGTTCAAACTGGGTAGGAAACAGACAGAGTGTTCTTGGAATTACATGGAAGGGATTTTGATGAGGACTGATCAACTGTGTTTGATGGGAGAAATGAATTTTGGTCTCAGTTTCTCACAGACAAACCAGAACTGCTTATATGTGTGTATAAAATTATCATGATGAAACTCAGACTAATGTCTGAGTTATTAATATGCATTAATAATAATAAAAAACAAACAGTAAAATCCAGAACAGACAAAGCTCCCCATATCCTCCACAGGTCAGACACATCCTTGAAAGAAGGCCAATTTTCCTGTTTTCTTTTTCTTCTGATGTCCATCCTCTTTGCCTTTCAGGATGGGGATTGAACATTTTTAGTTAGGGTCCTCTCTTTTGCTTAGTTTGTTTAGAACCTGCCACAGAGGGCCTCTGAAAGCCTCTGCCGTGCAGACTGTCAAAGCAGATGCTGAGCCTGATGGCCAACTGACGGGCAGAGTGAATGGAATTCTATGTAAGAAGTGGGAAATAGTAAGAGCTGGAGAGGACAGGAACTCCACAAGGAGAGCAACAGAACAAGATAATTTGAACACAGGGAACTTCCCAGAGACTCATACTCCAACCAAGGACTATCCGTGGAGATAACCTAGAACCCTGACAATGCAGCCACTTCTGATGAGAACTGATAGACTAAGATCAGAAAGAAGGAGAGGAGGACCTCCCCTATCAGTGGACTTGGGGAGGGGCATGCATGCAGAAAGGGGGGGAGGGTGGGACCCGGAGGGGAGGAGGGAGGGGCTTATGGGGGGATACAAAATGAATAAAGTGTAATTAATAAAAGTTAAAAAAAAGAAGGCCATTTTTAAAACTTTACAAAAATTTACAAAATTTTCTCTTTTCTTTTTAGATAGGCTCTCAGTAGTAGAACTCAGTATGTACACCAACCTGGCCTCAAACTCACAAAGGTCTGCCTGCCTCTGCTTCCTAGGTGCTGGGATTTCATACATTAGTAGTTATAACCACTCTCTAAGATCACCCATGCCCTTGCTTCCCAGTGAAGACTTAAGGATGATTATACATTTTATCAATTACGCATATAAAATATGCATAATCAAATATGCATATACACAATTAAGTATTTTATGTACTAGATCTCTAAGGATTTCAAACAAGAACAATGTATTTACAAGTTTTCTCAAAAATGGTAATTGGATGTTAGGATATCAATAGAGCTTAAGAAAAATATGCATTTAAAAAAAGATGAATACAGCAGTAGACTTGTTAACTTGTTAACTACAAAGCTACTGAAAAACCATTAAAAATATTTAAATCTGCAGATGAAAAGGCTAAGTGTAAAGAACCTCTAGCTAATCTAAGGGTTATCAGAAAATTAAGATTTCACTTAAAAACAGAGACAAGGAAGCTTCTCTTAGTCCCAGCTGCAATGTTGATTCTATGTACAACACAGTGGCTATAGGCATAGTGGCCAAGTAGGGAGCAAAATGACATGAAGATGGTAGATCTCTCCATGTTTTGTTTTTTAGCCTTTTAAAAATATTTATTTTATATATCTATCTGCATGTATACCTGCATGCTTTTTTTTGCTTTTAAAAAATATTTATTTTACATATCTATCTGCATGTATACTTGCATGCCAGAAGATGGCATCAGATCCCAGTATAAATGGTTGTGAGCCACCATGTGGGTGCTGGGAATTGAACTCAGGACCCTGGAAGAGCAGCCTACTACTCTTAACTGCTGAGCCATCTCTCCAGCCCTCCTCTCCGTGGTTTTATTGGGATATCACAGATACAAGGAGATGTTCACATTTCCATATGGCAGGGTTAGTCTGTTCTCCTGAGAAGGTAAACACAGATGTCAGATATCACTGATTAAGTTCACATCAACAATCATTTCTGAGTGTCTTCCAGTTGTTCAGCACTTATGTTAATCATTGTGTAGCATGGAAAGGAAGGAGAGAATTCTGTTGGAGTGTTTACGGACATCAAGTGGGGAGATAAGACATGTGAGACATGCAATAAAAATGAAAATACCAAGAGTGGATTCTTTCCATTCTCATTTCCTCAGTTGGCATGGCCAGTTGAAACATCTTATTTTTTCACTTATGAGCTGTGGGAATGTATAAGCCACAAGAGCTACACTGCAATAGCAACTCTTTACTGGGCATGCGCTATACCTAGGAGGCTCACCTATACGTTCTTTCATTTAATCTTTGTCAGGTCCATGGCACTTATTAGGTCCACTTTGCAGATAAGAAAACAGGCAATATGCAATTGAATGTGACCAAGCTGGGTTTGCATTTGGGTTCACAGCATTTCCTATTTTTCAGAAAGCTTCAGGACAGCACCTTGCTGTTTTAAATAAGCTAGAACAGCTAGAAAGGGGGAGTACAGAGGGGGGGCTGAGAGTCTCATTTTGGGATTCGATTTAAGTTTGATTTATGGCTCAATTTACCATCCTGAAACAAAATAGAGGACTAATAAAAATTCTGCAAGTGGGCAGTTTTCTGCACCGTTTAAAGCAGGTTTCCAGATGGGCTCAGATGGTACAGAATTCATTTACAGGCAGACTTTAAAAGCTGTGGTCCTTGTTCTCCAGGCTAGCCTGCCTTTAAGGATCTGGACATTCATGCTCCCCTTTCTGGATCCCCCATCCCAGTGGAGCAAGACAGACTTGAGGTTGAACTACTTCTTGTTTGTAAACCTGACAGCAGCTGGCTTGCTCAAGGCTCATGAAAGGCCTTCAGTTTTCACCCTCCAGAGGCACAAACATACCTCTGTTGTGTTTCTAAGGCAGTTTCCAAGGAAGATCCTCAAGTAGCAATTTTAATGCTCAAATTAGAGTTTTGTTGTTGTTTGTTTTTGTTTTGTTTTACTAGTGTTTGAAGACCCAAAACTTGGCTTTTGATAATATGTTCTATTATTTTTAAGCAATTAGAACTGAAAAGGCTTAAATACTAATATTTGCCCTTTCTGCATAGTTTGGCCCACTTTAAAACTCATTGCTTTAGCTCTGTGATTTGACTTTTGGCAGCATCTCTGTTTAGCCTACTGGGTCTTCTGAGTCAAAACTGCCCAACTGAGTTTTTTCATGTTTCAGAGGACCAGCTCCTTGTGCATGCCAGCAAGTGCTTTACATTGAGCTATAGATCCAGCCTGTTCTTTCTGGAGTCTTAAAAATGGCAGTGATGGAGAGGGGTAGGTGGGTGGTGGGTATTTCACACACATACAATTGCTAACAGACACAAACATACTGATTTAACATTTTAAAGTTGAAGACCTACTAAGTAAAGATTTACGAGTTTTGAGGATCACATTTCAGGGATTTTCACTAACTTAAAATGTCAAGGGCCAAGGACAGATGTTACATGGCTGCTGGGATCATGTGTGCAATTATGTTTTGAGATGCCTGACCCCCATCGTGTATATTGTCTTAGTTAGGGTTTTATTGCTGTGAAGAGACACCATGACCATGGCACCTCTTATAAGGAAAAACATTTAATTGGAGCTGGCTTACAGTTTCAGAGGTTTAGTTCATTATCATCATGGTGGGAAGCATGGCAGCATGCAGGCAGACATGGTGCTGGACAAGGAGCTGAGAGTTCTACATCTTGATCTGAATAAGCATATATGATCTCAAAGCCCACTTCTACAGTGACATACTTTCTCCAACAATGCCATATATACTCTAACAAGGCCATACTTCCTAATAGTGCCACTCCCTATGGAGTCAAACAGGGCCCTATCTATTCAAACCACACATACATTAAGTCTTGACAATCCTGCAGGTGTGCCCTTGGAGTGCTATAGGAATGTAAGCAATCCTCAAGGTCAAGGAAGGGCCTCAACGGAGAGACACAGGTTATTACAAGATTATCACAATGCAGAAAAGCCTCTGTGTGTCTGGAATCGGTCTGAATCAATGGCTTGCACAACTTAGCAAAAACTTGCTCCCCTGAGGTTGGGGCCCATAAGTTCTACTTCAGTGACAATTAAGGAAATCCATTCTCTTTAGTCCTGTGGAAAAGAACTTGTGTGGCCTAGCACATCACTCACCATCTGTGCTGCTTTTCTGTTTCAAAGGCAGATGAATAGCCTAGCCCTTTCCCACTGCAGCCACTGCTATGTCCTCAAATGTATGCAAGCAGTCTCCCTGTTGATCCCCACGGTGCTGGCTCCAGAGCAGCTAAGGGAGGGCCAGAAAAGAAAAGTAGCAAATGCTGGAAGATTTTTCCTGGCTTTCTAAACAGTGCACCTATTGTTCCGACCCCTGCTCCAGGAAAGCCTTTCAGGAGGACAACTGGTCTACATTTAGCTATATGAAATGATCTGAGGAAGATAAAAGGTTAGCGAAAGAATATGCTTTCTTACAAGGGCTAAAAAATAAGGTTGAAAAATAGTAGGTGGAGAAAGAAATCAGTATCTGAAAGTGGGTCATCATTTAGCAAAGGTTTTGGGGAGTTACTACACTCTGGGATGAGTAAAGCCCAATCGTGTTCTTCCATACAGTTACAACCTCTGGGACTTGTGCAGACCCCAGCGAATTCTTCCCTTACACAAACATTTCAGAACATTCTAATAGGCCTTTGCTAGCTTCTGAACTGTACAGCAAGACTACATGGTGATCTAAGGCTTTCAGTGGGACAGAATGGAGCCTCTGTGTCACTGTTATTACTGTCAGGAGTTTCATCCTATTAGGTTCATGAAAAGGAAAAAGGATTACAGGTCCCATTCTCTATGGGAACCCTCCTCTTCTAGTAATCATGACATATTTTAAAGTTTGAGTTGAAATCTGTTTCTGTAATTGGATGGGCATCTCTAAATACAAGAGAAATCATCACTGCTTCACTCATGGTTATCTTCTGGCAAGTTGAGAAAAAAGGCCTACAATCTGGAATGCAGGTAACATGACTCAGTTCTCAGCAAGGGCTAGCACAATCATTAGATTCAGACCATGAGATCACAGTGAATAAGCTAAACTGCTAGACATTTTGTCTTTTGGGGGAGCTG